GCCTCACCCCTCCTTACTGCAAACGTTGCTCACCTCTGAGATTCCCGCGTGAAGCAGATGAGACCCTCTCATGAGCTTGGGATGTCCCACCTTAAAAATACAATCAGTCGATGTGAAATTCCTCTTATGCTTCCACCTGCTCTAGTTTGGATCACGAATGTTCCCTGAAGGCCCATTCACTGCAGACTTAGTATTACTCCATGCGGTAGTTGGTAGGATCTATGGGAGAAAGATGGGGGGGGGGGCAGATTTTGATGGAGGTTTGTGACCCAGGCCATTTCTTTTCTTTTTGCTTCCCAGCTACTATGAAGTGAACAGACCTCCTTGGCCACACGCTCCCATCATGATGTGCTGCCCCAGCTCCAAAGCAATAAGGCAGGTGGCCATAGGCTTAAGTCTCTGAAACCGTGAGCCCAAACAAACCTTTGCACTTTTTCATTTATCTCAAGTATTTTGTCATAGGACCAGAGAACAACCTAATACACCTTCAGAATCAATTCACTACCATGGGCAGCCCCAGGTCACACATCATAGGTTAGGCGTAGCTGTGGAATTCCTCTTCCTTTCCACCAGACATTCTCCCCTCATGTCTTACAAAGACTACCATCCACCTAAGAGCTGTGGGTTTCCCCACTTATTTCCATTCCTTTAACATCCTGAAGATGAATGACAAGTTAAATGATAATTGTGTTGCAATATAAAATCTTCTCAGGGATAAATGGATGGATGGATGGATGGATGGATGGATGGATGGATGGATGAATAGATGGCAGGCAAACAAATGGCTCCTGTGTGATTCTCCCTGTATATGGCTCTTCAATTTTCTTAAGATTTCTGAGTGGGATTCAGGTAAATTTAATAATTTTTGGCTGAATAGCTGTGGGTAGAACAGCCTTTTGGTTTAAGAGTGTCAGTGCACACCCTGGCCCCAAAGGCCCTCCCCGACTTGCTGATGCTTCTTTCTGGTACGGTTTCTCAAGAACACCCTCTGAATACATGATCCTCATCTATAAAAGAGAAGCAGGAACAACTATTTTGTATGATTATCTTCCTGAAGCTTCAAAGGATCTATTATGTGTTTAGCAATCGCCAGTCTTTGGAATATGGCTTCACTAATTGTGCCTGTTGCTATGTGCTCAACAAGAAACCCACTCTGGGATTTTAACAACTTCTGCTTTGACCTTTTGTTTGAGCCAATATTCCCATCTTTGAATAGCAGCAGGTGTCTGATGTTCTGAGAACTGTCATCAGTAACTCTGAGGAAAAAATGGAATCCAGTGATGAAGCATTCCTCGCTTCAGATAAGAAAGCACTGCTAATGGGGAGAAAAGACAGTGGAGAGATAGGAGGGAAATACTGGAAAATAATACGGAAACAAATCAACAGGTCCAGGATGTTCTTCAAGTTTCTGTGAGCCTCTGTGTGCTCTAGCAAATAGTCATAATTTTTCTATGTGTCAGGTACTATACTCAGAATTTTACCAGTATTCAGTGCTTTAACCCTTATAACAATTCACCTGTTTGCACATTAAGAAATTGAAGCAAACAGCATAAAACAACCAGAGTCATAAGAGGAAACATGAGCTGTACATGAAAGATGCCAGGTTCCACATAGAGGCAACAGGCCAGGAAGCTTCCGTTATGTTTTCATCCCTCCCTTTCCCTGGTCTCCCGCCCCCCCCCCCCCGCTTTGTCTCCACTGTCTCATGTCCTGTGTCCTGTCTCTTCTCTTCCCTCCCTTCTCTCCTCCCTTTTCTCCTCTCTTCTCTCTTCCTCTCCTCCACCCCTTTTGCCCCCTCGCTCTCTCGTCTTTTTTCCCTCTCCTCGCCTCTCCCCTCCTCTCTCCACCATTTTCTTCCTTCCTCTCCCTCTTCCTTACTCCCCTTTCCCCTCTCCTCCTCTCAAACTCCTCCTCCCCTTCTTTCCTACCCCATCCCCTCCTGTCCCAAATCTTTCCCCATAAGATCAAAAACCTATCTCAGGGCACATGATGCAGAATTTATTATTTTGTTCTTTCTCTTCCTTGCAGAGGGCTAAGTTTCTAGACAGTGACTTGACAGCTTTATTGTCTCATTTTAGCCTGGTTATCTGACATTATTAATTAAGATTTTATAATGATTGACTGAAGCAGGAGGCTTTTTACAAAGACAATGGCAAAAAGGGCATAGATTTTCTTTAATGAGCTTTAACTACCCAGCTAAGATGTTTTTGTTGAGAGTGTCTACTTGCTATAATATAATATCTTTATAATTAAAAGGTAGTAATAAATTAAATTTTGTCTTTAAACTACTACTAGCCTCTAATTCTCCTTTATCTTGGCTCCTCAGCAAAATTTTAATTAATACTCTTTTCCTGTAAATATTCTTTGTCAACAAACTTATACCTTGTATAATACAAATACTTACATGTGTATATAATGGGACATTCTTGTGTGCATTGTGATAAACATATGATGTAGGATATATACCCCCAAGAATATAAACCACTACTAGTAGTAATGAGGAACAACATTGTTTTGGGTCTAAAAAAGGAGAGAAAATACCATTAAATAATATGACCCAGGAGTTATGTTACTTTTTCTCTTCCTACATTTTCATCGAAAAGGTTACTGATTTAAATACTGACTCACAGTGGTTTGTTGAGCAACTGTCATAAAACCCCAGTGACTCATCCTTAAAGGGCAAATGCTCATCACCTGCCAGAGCTCATTACCATGACTGAATTGGCAGTAATACGGTAATTATTTCAAACTACCCATTTCTAACATAATGTTTTCTCCCAGCACCATGAATTGGGAACATTTGTGAAATCAGAGAGGGCAGAAGACAACCAATTAACCAGCTCAGCTGTCCACCAGAGAATAAGGCCAAGAGCATGGGAATAAGGCATGATGATGATGATGATGATGGTGATGATGATGATGTCATGATGACGATAGCTAATATTTATCAATCTTTATTTATCTTCCGGGTGTTATCCAAATGTTTTACATGTACAATCTCATTTACTGCTTTTACCCACCGTCTTAGTTTATCACTGTTGCTGTGATAAAATACCCTGAGAAAAGCAACTTAGGGGAAAAAGGGTTTATTTTAGCTCACAATTCCAGGTTACAATCCATCATCAAGTGAAGGCACAGCATCAGGGCTTAAGACATCTGGTCGTATCATACCCATGGTTAAGAGCAGAGAGTGAATGTGTTCACACATTACTAATACTCAATCTGCTTTTTTCCATTCCTACACAGTCCAAGGACCCCAAACTAGGGATTGGTACCATCCACAGTGTCTAGATCTTCCCATATCAGTTAATATAGTCAAAATAATCCCCCACAGATGTGCCCACAGGCCAAACTAATCTAGAAAACTCCTCACTGAGACTTCCTTCCCAGGTGATTCTTGATGTGTCAAGTTGACAACTAAATGATCATCATACTCCCCCACAAAGTACAGAATATTATTAACAGCATTCCACAAAGGATAAAATGGAGACTTAAGAGACATACACTTGCTCAAAATCGCATAGCTCATATGCAGCCAAGTCAGGACTCAAACCCAGTCAGTTCATTCTACTCCAGTGTCTCTCAAGATTAGTAATACTGAGAGCTATGGCTAGATAATTCTTTTCTGTGAAGGCCTTCATAGGTGTGAGGAGTGTTTAACTGCTTAGAGGCATCCCAGTTCTGCCCACTATATTCCACTAGCACCTGCTCTTCCCTGTCTCCCTTGTCCAGCTCATTCCAGATTTTTGCCAAAGTCTTCCAGGAGAATGAATTGTAACACTGCCCCAGTTGGAAACCATTATTCTAATTTCTTCATACTGACCATTTTGTCTCTCCTCATTAAACAACCTTCACAAATAGCTTAATGATTATAATACTATATTGATTGTTAATTTAGTGCTAAACCTAAATACTAGTTTGATTATTTATTTAAAAATTTATATTTGAGGGGCTGGAGAGATGGCTCAGTGGTTAAGAACACTGGCTGTTCTT